CATGAGATCAGTGCATGCACTGCATCGTCCAATCAGTGAGCGATACACAGTAAGGGGGCGGGGCGAGTATCTGAGGATTTCATCGGAGGATGGTCTGGTGGTTCCTCGATTATCGCTCCTCCATTATCGCTCCTCGCTCCTCGATCCTCGGTCCTCCGGCAGAAATAAGAGCCATGGGACGGTACTCAAGATGGCGCAGGCAAATCAACTTCCGGTGAGACCGAGGACCGAGGAGCGAGGAAATGAAAATAGTCGACCTGAGATGCAGCCATTGACATCGCCAAAGAAAGAAGATGGAGGTGGTCTGATGGGCGTGCAGCCCAGTATTTCTTTCGGTATGAAGACCAACTAAGCAACGGCGGAGGTGAAGACTGTGTACTCACCAACTGGTGGGGGACGTGGAATGATGCGCCTTGTTCAGATGCTCTTCCCTCAGTTTGTGCATCTCGCACAACTTGTCCTTAGCAGCTGAGATGTTACGTGTTCACCTGTTTTGTTAACATGATAACAATAAAGACACAGATGTAAAATGATATATGTGTGTGAACAGAAGTCCTTTTGTCTAACCTTTATTTTCATGAATGTTACATATTCACACTGGTCGCTCCAGGGGTTAATCAAAGGAATTATTTCTATACCTTTTTTATATATCATTTAGTAAATAATATTGATGATGCATTATTATTACATTTTAATCCACAGATTTGAGCCGTTGCTTATTATTCCTGGTATTCTACTTATTTGTTTGAACCACACAGCTGCTATCATTCAATGATCACATGTGGTCAGGTATTATGGCACCTGCATGGTGTGTGGATGACCAACGGGCTGAACTTGCTCTTTTCTGTTGACCTAGTCCTGCTTTGGTGATAGTTTCTTTTGTTCAATAAACTTTAACTTTTGCACAGATTTGATTTAGGAATGCTTCAAAGTGATGAGCATAGTCTTAGCGATATGATTTATTGGGAAAAGTACCATCACTCTTTTTCTGGTATTAGGAACAACAGGTGTTTAATGGACAGGGACACTTATCATGTTTATCTTCCACATGGACGTAAACGTACCTAAAATGTACTCAACAGTACTATTTTCTGATAAACAAGACATTCATCCTCTGTTGTTTTAAAGGAAGACTAACGAAAGGAGGGCTTGAGCTATCAGATATAGTTGATTACAGAGTATAATATATATATATATATATATATATATATATATATATATATATATGGCGTGAAACTCAAAAAGTGGCAGCATGGTTACAGACATGTTTATCATCACCTGCGTCTCAGATTTCAATGCAATTCATATCAAATGAATGATTATTGCTTTTTGTTGGGAAACAAAAACAATCTAAATTATTCAAACATTCCATCTTTGTCAGATATATTCGGCCAAGTATTGAAAGGTCTCTTTGGAGCCATGAATTTAACTTAGCCTTGCATTCCTTTAATTTGTTTTCAATGTTCAAAGACTGACTTTGCTACTTGTCTTTAGTAAGGTACATTCCCAGGTATTTTATTTCTGATATGATTGGAATATTACAAATGTCTTTCAGTGGAGTATCATGTATTTTCATTTCATTTCAAACCTTTATTTATACAGATAAATCCCATTGAGATCATTGATCTCTTTTCCAAGGGAGACCTGCTCAATAGTTCCACATGAAACATTAAAACATAAATAGAACAACAAAAGGACATCATACAGCATCATTTACATAATTATCCATATAAACAGGTACCAATAGCTTCCGATTGAGTAGCATCCAACCGAGCTTTAAAAACATTTAGTGGCACCAGATTGTTCAGTTTCCATTTAATTTGCAGACTATTCCAAGACAGAGGAGCTGCGCATCTAAAAGCTGTCTTCCCTAAGACAGTCCTAGCAGTTGGCACATTAATAAAACCACAGCATTCGATCTCAGGCAGTAGCCACTTACAATTTTCCGTGAGATCAGGGAGCAGATATAAGATGGAAGTTTCCCTAACATGGCTTTGTATATAAAAATGTACCAGTGACTGAGCCTCCGTACAGTTAGTGAAAGCAAACCAGCCCTTGCATACAGGGTACAGTGATGGGTTAATGCTTTACAGTTTGTCACAAATCTCAGTGCACTGTGATACGCAGCATCTAACTTGACCAGGCAATTGGCAGGTGCATTCATATACATCAAATCACCATAGTCCAGCACAGGTAAAAAGGTCACAGTGACTAGCCTTTTCCTGGCCTCAAGCGAGAAACAGGACTTGTTCCTGTAGAAGAAACCTAGCCTAACCCTCAGCTTTTTAAGCAGGTTATTGACATGAAGTTTAAAAGTGAGACAATCATCAAGCCAGATACCCAGGCATTTGTAACAGGCAACCACTTCAAGTTTGATTCCTTACGTAGTTACAATATCTACAACAGGCTCTGGTGTCTTTTTAGCTTTAGAAAAGAGCATTACCTTGGTTTTCTCAACATTTAAAAGAAGCTTAAGCTCAGCGAGCGGAGTCTGAATAATGTTAAAAACAGCCTGTAATTTAACACCAGCCTCCTTAATGGAGGGAGCTGCACAGTACATCACGGTATCATCCGCATAAAAATGTAAAGTAGCTTCATCCACATTTTAACCTAAACTGTTGTAGATGGAGAATAAAAGTGGACCTAAAACAGAACCTTGAGGAACACCATTAGAAATGTTTAACCACTCAGAATACAGCCCTTCAAAGTGAACACATTGGGACCTTTCAGAGAGGTAGTTCACAAACCACCCTACTGCATGGCTGGACATGCCAATACTGAGTAGCCTCTGCTTTAAGATGCGATGATCGACGGTGTCAAACGCTTTTGAAAGGTCAATAAATAGAGCTGCACAACTCTGCTTATTATCTAAAATACTCGTAATATCATTCACCACTTTCATTGTGGCAGTGATGGTGCTATGTTGCTTTCTGAAGCCTGACTGATGTTTAGACAGGATGTCATTTGTACATAAAAACTCCTTTACCTGTTCACTCACTAGGCGTTCAAGAACCTTAGCCAGAACTGACAATTTAGAGATGGGCCTATAGTTATTTAATAAGGTGGCCTCCCCTCCTTTTAGCAAAGGCAGGACATAAGCTGACTTCCACCATTTTGGAATTGTGTTAGTGCTGAGGGAGAGGTTAAAAAGAGTAGTGAGAGGTGGAGCAATACAATCTGCAGCTATCTTTATAAAGAAAGGTTGTAAATGTATGGCAAGAAGTTCAATTTTTTTCATATTTAAAGTCAACCCTGACGCTTTGGAGAATCTTTCAATTGGAGTAATAGCTGTTGGAATCTGATGTTTATCCTTTAGGAATAATGTTGTGTCATCTGCAAGCTGGCTAATGAGAACACTTGTAAGGTTTTTATGTCATCACAATTTTGTATGTAAATCGCTAACATTTCTCTAACTATGAAGTACGGAGAGAGGACAACCCTGAGGAACATTACCCTTAAAGCTAGGGGTGGTGATGACACAGCTGCTAATATCCTGATAAAGACCACTGACCATATTTCTGAATGTAACTCCAAAGTCAAGATGTTTAAGTACTGAGAGGATAAAAGGATGCTCCAAGAAGAGGATAAATCCATCCTTTTCTATCTGGTTTCTGTATTCAATAATGTCCATTACCAGCCTAATGTTATTGTGAATTGATCTGCCTTTTAGGAAACCAGATTGTGTTTCTGCAATAACTTTGGAGATTCCAATTTGAAGACGGGCAGTGAAAATGTAGGTGAACAGTTTGTGGTCAGAGTTCCTAAGAGTAATGGGTCTTCTGTTTTCAATTATTCTTGGGTCTTTGCCAGGTTTTGGAATTGAGACTATAATTCCATGTTTCATTGTGGGTGGGAGCATACATGTTTCATCATTCAACCTATAGACACATTTATTTAAGTGTTTTAATAAATCTGTCATAATGAGTTAAGGTAAATTACACATTTTAAGTGTTAAATACACTTGTTTAAAAGGTAGCTTGGATATTATCAAATATGAATGTTTAATGTTGGCCATGAGGGTTGTGCAATAAGTCACCATTGTCAGGAGGCGTGTGGTGCAGTGGGTTGTGCATTGGTGTTCGGATCAGGGGGTCATAGGTTACATTACATTACATTGCATTTAGCTGACGCTTTTGTCCAAAGCGACTTACAATAAGTACATTCGACCAGGAAGACACAACCTTGAAGAAAACAGAATCATATAAGTATATCAGGTTTCATAGAGCCAAACATTTCAAGTGCTACTCAACTGGCTTTAGGTAATCCAGTCCTTTATTAGTATAAAAGTGCTTCGTTAATCGTTCTAACGCTCGAAGTGGAGTCAGGTTCAAACCCGCATGTCGTTGTGTCCCTGGGCAAGACACTTCACCCCAAATTGCTCCTGTGGAGATTGTCCACAGTATTGAGTATGTAAGTCGCTTTGGATAAAAGCATCTAACAAGTGACATGTAATGTAATGTATGTGCTTCTGTGTATTGTGTTTGTTCAAACGGTGTATGACTGATGATATGTGTATGTCTCTTAATGTACTATGTTTGTATATGTACATTTATGCGGAACTGCAGGACGGAGTCCAGAACAAATGTCCTTACGGGGACAATAAAGTATATCGTATCGAATGCTGTAAACATTGTTGTCTTGTCTTCTTAAGGCTTTTGTATGAAGCAACCTGAGACACTGGCAATAGAAACCCGGGAATTCAAAACATTACATTTAAACTTATTTCTCAGTAGTCTGAGCTTTAATTCTGTTTGACGGGCGATTCCAGATTTATTCTGTAGGGCATTAGAGTTTATATTGTTTTAGGAATTAAAAATACAATTCAAGTTTAAATTAAAAGTTTAAAATAATAATGACCCTAATATAGTAATTATTTAATTTATATGTGTTTAGTATTTATTTTTAATTTCAGTTCTACTACAGTCAGACGGTCCCTAAACGCAACCGAGTTCACGGTAGTTGTTAAGTGGGTCAGTTGCGAAAGAACACAAAAACCAACATACATATAATGTTTTATTTAAAAAGAGTTTCACATATAACAGCATTTCTGAGGATAAGCAGATTGTTTCCAGTGACTGCATCTGAACAGCTGTGACCGCACCAACAGATGGAAACCTGGAAAGGTAGTTTCTGTGTGAAACTAAATCAAACTGAAAGATTTATAAAATGTCTACTTTTAAAAATCCCTAACAAATTGACAATAATTGATCTGCTGGGAAACAACCATCAAATTGTTTAATTAAAAGTTTAAAAGTACTTTTTTCAGTCAATTTCTTTAGAGAGATTATCTTTACCAGTCAAATTTAGTAATTTGATGAGCGAAGACTGAACAATCTCACTGGTGGTGCATTCAGGGACTCTCCAACGACTGACATTTCAGTATTTGTTTTACTTTTATACAATGACAACTGTGCAAACGCCACTCTCGTCTGAAAAAGAAACTTGAGATGTAGTAGAAAGTCCTAAAAAGAAAATAGCAGATATCAGTTTTCAAGGTTGAAATTAAACGTACACTGCTTTGCAACTTCAGACCTTGAATGTTCAGATGTCCCACAATCATTGAATGCCCCAAACACATTTCCCAATAGAGGAAAACGTAACTTTGACAGTGGAACAAATGTGTGTGTGATGCAAGAGCTGAAGCCAGTCCTTCATCCACCATGATGAACAAACCGCTGCGGCGCCACCTGCAGGCGGAGACGCTTCATTACAGTCTTTTGAATCTTTGGCCGTTCGAGTAAAGCTGCTGCAGAGCCACTATTTCAAGTACACTACGTCATCGAGTGGCGCCGAAGGACTGTTTAGATGCCCAGCATTCGGCGCCACTCGATGACGTAGTATACTTGAAATAGTGGCTCTGCAGCAGCTTTACTGGACATTGAGAAACGACCTTTGTATTCCCGTCCAGCTGCTCGTCGTTCTTCTTCAGGTGTTTTAGTGTCCCTGAAAGCTTTGGCTCTGCAGCTCTCGGGGGGGCAGCTTCCTGCGGTCTTTCCCGGCGTTCCTCTTCCTCTTCTTGCTCAGGAAGTTGTCCAGTTTTCCGGTCTTCTTCAGCTCCTGGTATTTCTCAGCCAGCTGCAGCTTCTTCTTCTCAGCTGGAACAGAACAACAAAGAGGCCTTTCAGTAAATTAAGCATCCACTAATCCGACACTTGTTACGCTCAAAGATATTACTAAAAGATCCAATATCCCAGGTTATATTATTATGTTGATTATATGTATTTATCTGAAAGATTTCCATACTTCTATTTGTAATGCTCGGAGTCACTGAGGTCATTTTGTTTCACATTCTTCCTATTTATAATATTTTCAAACAAAAACAAGTTTTAGAATTGCTAAATATTTGGTATTACTGCAAACAATTTTACCGTTATTCTATCAAATATTTTAATATCTTTGTACATTATTTATACCTTTTAAAAATCAGCAAGGTTTCTGCTGTTAAATCTTATTTTTGTTTATTTTGTTATTCTTTTAAGTGCAGTGTTTATTAAAAAGGCAATGCTGCAACTAAGGACTATTTTCATTAATGTTTGTCATTTAAAACATTTTTTATTAATCTTTTTAGTAAATAAAATGTCTTATTTCTCAGAGCTCAAGGCCACATGTTATTTTGTAACAACCAACGGTCAATAAAAAATACATTTATTCACTTTATAATGATATAAAATTGGATTTTTGAGTTATAAATTACTCTAGAGCCCAGTCTGCTCTGAAATAAAAACTTCAAATACATTCTTGAATAGCAACAAAAACCTAGTTCCAGCTGTTGGTGGTGTAAATGAAGACATCAGGTGTAAACAGAAACAGTTATTATTGTAATGAAGTCTCTCTTACAGTTCTTGAGGAAGAACGGTCGGTCGCCCTGACTCGCTCTCTCTCTCTGCTGCCTCTTGAACTGCAGCTCTCTCTCTCTCTGCTCCTCTTGACTCTTCCTCGCTCGCTCCTGGTTCTCCTGCAGAGAGAGAGACATCGATCAAACATTTAACAACTACAACTTTTAATTCGCTTTTATTGTGAAACACCAGCCAGGAAGTGTTGAGTTTCTTTATAGGCAAATTAACATCGATCTAATAATAGGTCAACTGAGAGGACAGTATGACACGACTGCTTTTAAGGATGGAGTTACTGTTGTGGATGTTATTGTTGATTTGTGCAAAATGTCTTACCATTAAAAGACCTTACAATAACTTCTAATGGTTGGTTCAAACCAGCGGTGAGCGCTTGATGAAACCCTTGGTGTGTCAGACTCACCATCCTCTTCAGGAGGAACTGCAGCTTCTCCTTCTTCTGGACGTTGGTCGGCTTCATCCTCTTCAGTTGCTTCTTGACGATCTGCAGACAAACAACACCATAACTTTGAGTCTCACGTCGTGCCGAGAAACAGCTTCAACGCCAGTTTGCAGGACGTGCTCTAACAGCAGGAACTAAATCAGTGTGATCATGAAGCTCTCTCACCTCCTTCTCTCTCTGTTTGATGTCATTGATGAATTTATACGTCTCCACAAAAATCTCCGGTTTGTATTCTCCAGACAGGTCGTCAAACCGAGGGTCTCTTGACGTCTGAGTAACATAAGAAAAGGACAGGAACAGATTGAAGTATTCATAATAACACAGACTGAATGCAATCTGCAGGTTTCGTATACTCACCGGTTTCTTGGCGGAGACGACCTTACGGAGGAACGGAGCTCGTCTCTTGGCTGAAATCTCCATCGGTCTGAAACACATACAAACAAACACACTGTTAAAACCAACTGGGAGTAAATTACAGGGGACCTATCATGCAAAATGCACTTTTTTATGTCTTTTATTAAATATGTGTCCCCGGTGTGTCGGGGAACTCACGCAGCGTCAGAAAATAAAACCCTCTCTCTTTTCCTCCGTACCCAAATCTCTAAAAACGGGGCTGCAACGGAGCTGATCCAGATTTGCGTCCGATATGACGTAATATCTGAAATGTGGACCCACGGCCCTATCAGAAAGTTGCTATCAGAAACAATGTCCGACTGTTTTGGACGTAATATGGTCGGTGTTACATTAGCATCGCTAACACTCAGAGCTAACCTGTGCTGGAGAGCATGTGTGTGAAGAAGCAGGAAGTAAAAAGGAACTCACCTTGTGGTATAACCGGCAAGAGAGAAAGCCTTTGAGCTCCATACTGTTTCAGAGAGAATCCTTGATAATCCATGATATGGCGTTTCATCACGGCAGCATTTAGTTTAGACAGTAGCTGCCGGGTCCCGCATGAGCTCAGACCCCTCCTTTCTTTTAATCAATTATTTTATTTTTTTAAGCTTTATACATAAAATCAGCACTTTTGAAACAGGAAGTGAAATAGAGGGATATGAGGCATGGCTAGAATGGGCGATCTGTTTGGTATTTTGAGCAAAACACTTCATAGACATATATCTGAGACCTATGCTATTGCCTACAAATAGCATGATAGGTGACCTTTAAAGCCGGAGCAGCATTCTGTGGTTACAAACTGAGACTGCTCACCTGTTCTTGTTCAGGCGTTTCTTTTTGCTCGGCCCTTTCGTCTTCTGGCTGCCGTACGCCACCTCGTTGTACACTTTGGTTCCCACTTTGTTCTGAAGCTTCATGATCTCCTCAAAGGACATGTTGGAGAGTTCTGCGAGGGAAAGAGAACAGAGGGAGTAATGAAGGCATCAGTCTTTACTCTTACTGTGCTTCGTATGTCAAACCTAAAGCATGTGGGACAATACGGCTTGATCCAACCTGCATATCAATTTAAGTTCTCCTTTCATTTTTAACCATTTAGCCAGTGTTTCCGCCAGACCAGGGCTGAGAGGGCGGGGGGGGGGGGTTTGACTAGAGCCGTCCCTTATAGATACTGTCTTTTTACGTTAGTGAGCCGGATTTGGCTCGGCTCTCTTAAAGCGCCGGCTGTTTCGGCTCCCACACGGCTCTCAAACGGCTCTTCATGTTACCACAGTTTACCACGGAGCCTCAGTTTCGCCGCTGCGAGGCTCCGGCGCTCGCAGCTCACGCGCGTGCTCCACTAAAACCCCCCCGCTCATCGCGTCCAAATCGCGCACGCTCCGTGTTGTCCTGTAGCAGGCACCTTCGATGTCGGGGAAACGGTCTTCAATACTCCGAACACAATCCCACCAGACTCCTTTGCCCCTCCAACAGAGGGATGTCCTTGTCTTTTTTCCTTTTCGTCATTTCAAGCGATAAAAACTCTCGATCTTCTCTCGAATTATTAATATTTTTGGACGCCCTCGGCTCGAGTTCAGGGTGTCCCGAGCTGAATAAGGGCGTCAAATGACGGCAAGACGTCCCCCTGGCGGAAACGCTGCATTTAGCTGGAGCAGGAAAAAAAACCTAAGGACTTGAATAACAACGCTCAAAGTCAACGCTCAATGTTTAAGTTAATGAACAGTTGACGCAAAGTGTCTGACTGTCCTTCACACTGAATACATTTAATCTTGTGTAGAAGCAGCGTCAAGGTTAATATGATGGAGACAAACTCACCTTTCTTAATGTCTTCTCTCGTCTGGATCTCACTGCTACCACCAGCTTCTTCTGCATCTTCATCTCCATCTTCCTCATCAGCATCATCATCATCATCATCAGAGGCTTCACTGTCTTCATCCTGCTCTTCCTCCCCCCCCCTCAGCAGCCTCCTCTTCATCACCACCATCAGATGCTTTCTCAGCAACGTCTGCTCCTTCTTCCTCTTCATCGGTCCCACCAGCAGGCCCTTCTTCCTCATCATCACTGGACTCTTCCTCTCCTTGGTGGAAAGACTCTCCCACCTCAGTTCCTCCTCTCTTAGTGAGCAGAGCGAAGTTCCTCTCCACGTCAGAGTCTTCATCGTCACTGCTGTTCGCCGCCATATTCTTCTTCTGCGGCTGCTTCCCTTTCCCCGTCATCTCAGTTTCTGGAAGACAGCTGTGGGAAACAAGAGGAGAATTGATGGTAGTTTGAGACTGGAAATGTGCTAGATGCTCATCTGCTGTGGTGGAATAAAACTAGGTTTATTTACTCAATTACAAATGAGAGATACTCAAACTTTACTTGAGTTATTATTATATGATATGCAGCTTTACACTATACTATGCTAATACATCCCAGAGGTACATATTGAATGATTTACAACACTACATTTGTCTGACAGCTTGAGTTACTTTTCAAGATGACATTGTTTCATCCACTTCCTGTCCAGTGAAATCCATGTATCTCCAGATGTCAGACATTTCAAACACAACATCTAAAACAAACAAGTGCATTCAAAAGATAAAGGTACATCTAAATCTAAAAGTTACAAGACATACAAATGTATCTCCAGATGTGTTTAGTTTAATAGCTTGTTGTGCTCATGAGTGGCAGATCGTTTACCATCTTAGCTCCAAATAAGTTTAAAACCATATTTTTTTTCTAATAATTTCACTACTGATACATTTTCCATGATAATTAACCTCACACTATTTGGTAAAAGCCAATCGTAATAAATGCAGGTATCTAGCAGGGCAAGGGCTCCATACAAAAAACAGCATTTCTATTACTTCCTAGATTATTTAAATGTGTACAAAATATGGTTAAGTCTCACTTTAGATATGATAGGGTATTAAAAGGAGTTACACTTGGATTCGGGTTAGTGTAAACCCAATAATGAGGCATTTCCTTTTCAGAAATGTTCATTTTATGACTTATTATCTTGAGCACTAAAAACGTAACGTTAGAAATGGTCTATGTCACGTATTCGTATGCCGAATTAACACCTAGGTAAGGAAACGTATAAGCTCCCAAAAAGTCGTTTTATTAACAAAATGCGTTGACTAAGAGGGACATTTTTAATATTTAAAGCAGCAGATTCTCAATTCAGTTTGACATGTTTTCTTCAGTAGCGAAAGACAAGAAAGCGAATCGGACCGAAGCGAGGCCAACTTGTACTCAACATGAAAGCGAAACACTATTAAATAAATGTGTATTTACCTGGATATTAAGTCGTTAAATCCCTGTTTAGCTGAGCTCTATTATCCACGTGTGTACATGTCGGCTGCGAGTTTCACTCCGGTGAGATAAACAGAGAAGTTCCGGTTTCAAAATAAAGGTTTCACTGAGTTGTTACGTGTTTTTGGAGCAGATAACAGAATACATGTGCTGCAGTTTTATCCAGATAGGTTTATTACCAGTGCCTGTAGTGGTTAAGTACTGTTTTGTGACCAGTAAGATGTAATGTTTTACAACAGATTTTTTTACGCTTTTATTTTGAAGGCAGTAATAATTACTGGCTGCGCAGTGCTGCCCTCTGCTGAAAAATACACAGCTTCAACTTCACTCAGAATCAGGGTTTTTTTTTACACATACAAGCAATTGGTGCTATATTGGTGCTAACATTAGGAAACACAGTTGTAAGAGGACCAACATTATAACTATAATAAAAAGAAAATGTTACAAAAAACTATGTAACACACATTATGTACACAGAATATGAATAAACAAAAACGAAGTATAGTGATTATGACAAAGTACAGTTTATTAGATGTCAAAGTGGAGGGTTGTGGAGATTGTGGAAGAGGTAGTGTTATACAGAACTGTAATTGCAATTGCACACACACACACGCACACACACACACACACACACACACACACACACACACACACACACACACACACACACACACACACACACACACGCTGAGAAAGGAGGAGGAGTTTGTTTCCGTTGCCAGGCGATCCTGGTGACGAGTTGCGTCAAATCGAACATATTAAAACCGGAACATCGATATCAAGTCCTTCAAAATAAAAGCGGGTAAACTGCAGAGCACAGAAACATCTACATAAATGACAAACATATTTTCAGACATGATGAGAGTCTGAAAGCCTAAACTGTGTCAATCAATTATTTTGATTCCACATTTATATGAAAATAAATGGCTTTTTAATTTGTTTTGTATTTTCCACATTATCCATCATTTTCCATCATAATTCAGAAATAGTAAAGACAAATATGAACTACCCTGTAAACTCATTGTTAGCGTAAATGTATTCTCTGATTATATATTTTCTTAGTATTCATTTCGTTGAGTATTTTATTATTTTCATGCCTTTTTTATAACATTATAGAGAAACTTCCTGAATGTATTTCAACAACAGAATCACATTCTTTAAATGTTTATCCTTATGTGAAAATGTATCTGTGCTATCCTGTAGTTTAATGTTATTCCTGTTGCTGCTTCAATAAAGTATACAGTATCTCATCTTCGAGACAAATGGTTCTTTTATTCTGAAATCTCTCACCGGAAGAGGTATTCCCCTCCCTGGTGTGTGTTGACTGAATGGTTGTGACCCAAACACACTCACACACAGTCAGACGGATCGTGGTCGTTGAGCAGGATTACCGCTCAGCAGGAGAGCTGCTCTTTGTGTTCTGCTCCCATCATCTAAACTAACACACACTTATTCCTGCGAGCTGTCTCCTGCTAAATCTCCTCCGAAAACATCCTCTTTTTATTAATTATCCCACCTGTCCTCCAGAGGGATTGGACCTGCAGAGGGAAAGGCCCGCTGGGTCACTGCAACAGGTCGAGGAGGAAATATAAATATAAATAATAATAATAATAATGAGGATGCATGTGGTGTAAATGAAGCGAACAGAGGAGGAACACACACTTCAGAGGAGTAGGATGCTTTGATGGTTTCTGCTGCAGACTGGGTGCGACAGAGAGGAAAACTGCCAACATGATGCCGGTGAGTGAGAAAACACATTTAGTTATCCACTCATACATGTGGGCTCTGTAACTGTCTCTATGGGACACCTTCCCCATCACTGCCATGCAGGGGCAGTAACCTGAAGTGTATTTAGTGTTAATTCCACTGCTTTCCCAACAAAATCCCTTCAATTTGAGCCTATATTATAAATGAGAACCTCGTATCCTTACTAGGTAACATGTAAAAGAATGCAGTGTCTCTAATGTTTTACATGATGATTTAATCCCAGATTGAGCGTCAGTGAAAATGTTATTGAATGATTTGCATTGTCTTCATTTACTTGTATTCTGACAATACTGTGTTATCAAAGTGTTGAGGTCTGCAGCCGCCCTTTAGAGCACTGAGGTCATGTCCTTTTCAATTTATTTTGAGAAGTGTATGAGTCAACTTGAGAATGAGTGATGGCGTTTATTCACATGTAGGTTTGTTGATAGGCTGATTACAGGATGTATAGACTGAGTTTACTTAACTGGACTGCTTTAAAGAAAGAATAATAACCAAAGTAGGAATATTTGGTTTTTCTCTAGCATGCTTTAAACAGCATTTAGACATTTCAGTGGAATACAATAGACAGAAAACAAACAATAGAGACTGAACTTCCTTAACTGTCATCAAGGAGCATCCATTACAGTCAACTTTACCTAAATAATAACCTAAACATTAACAGCTATGGTTCTTTAAACTCAACCTTATGACTGAACACCTCACTTGTTCTGGTGGAGTCTTTACAGAGCAATACATAGATTTAGGAAATGTAATCACACCTAATTTCTGGAATAAACACATTTTATCTGATGGTCTCATCCACAGTGAAGTAAAACCATCACTTCCCGGATCAATAACATGAGTGATCGCAGCACTTTACCCAAGGTAATGATCTGATAAGGGAGACAGACTTGTGTTTGTGACCTGCTGTGACTTCACCGTCGTTCAACAAATGTCACGACCAGACGCTGTGTGTGAATCAGAACTAATAATAGAACAGCATTGTGCCATTGTCTCAGTATGGAGGTCCTCCCCTGGTTTCAACATGTTGTTGACCTTTTTATCCACACTGCAGTGCTGCGAAGTCCTCTGAGTCACTGCAGCTGAACAGTTTGACATGTGGCTCCTGGTTTGAGTCTTCGTCTCACTCCTCTGTCCTGCCTGTCCATGCTGAGAGTCTGTAATGATGCTACATTGTTGGAGACATCTTCTCCTTTCTTTTAGCCTCACTGCACCAACAAGTCAATGTTTTAAGCTTTAGGTGTGTCTGGTGCTCACCTGTACCGCCCAGAAACATCTTGTTTAAAACATAAATATGCGCTGAAAGCATGAAGTGTATGTCGTGAAGCGTAAAGGCTTTGATTAGTTTATCTTGGTATCTGGGATGTTGTGTTAAAATCTGTTGTCACAATGACAATAGTATACAGTGTTGTCCCAGAAATAACTGCGATATTTGTCACTTTAAGACCATTTTCCGCCACAGATAGTAATATCAAAGTTGCCTTATAATGCAAATACACCTTTTGAAAGAGCAATGCACTTTAAAAACAATTGTACAGGCTACGCCCCGATATTAACATAAACACAAAACAAACCAGAACCAAAATGACTTGAATTAAAGGACAAGATGTGTTATTCAATATTTTGTCTTATAGCCAACAAGTTCCCACTGAATGGTATATCTTTGAAACACACATCTGTACTTTTATTTTATTTTAAAACGGCTGAAACAGCTGCTCACTGTTGTTTTTAACAAACGAACAGGAGGAAATCGTTGTGCGGATTAATCCACATTTGGTGCTGTAGTGAGTATTTGTGGCGGCAGGATGGTGTGTGTGGGATTGTGTTTTTTAATAGATTTTGGACAACAATGGAGCTCTTCGGTGCTAGACATAAGAAATATATTTGATACACGCATAACACTTCTAAGAGTTTACATTAACTATTGGTCTGAGTCTGAACGTGGGATTAGTTGATGAGAAGAAAGGAAATATAGAATATGCTCTATAAGCCCTGAACCCGTCACGGAGGGCAACACAAGGGTTGGAGGGTTTTTCAAAACGTCTTCAATCAAAGTCCAGTCCAGTATATTCAGCTTATCCAGAGGTCTTTTAAAGATAATCACACACGTGTCTTCACAAACATTTGCCCAGATCTACATGAACTTTAAACGCTAGAAGTCTGGGTACTCGTTTTTGTCAGAATCAGTCTTTAGAGGTACGCATGTGGAGATTTGTGTCACTGAAACTCAATGCAACTTGCATGGCACCAACAATACAGAGAGAACACTGAGAGAAAAACACTGCTGTTGATTCCATGTTTAGGCAATTGAACTCTATGCTATGTCAGAACAACCATGTTTGAAACATCACAATTACGCCCCAAAGTGAAATAGTTGGGATGCATTTGTGGCAGCAAATTAAATCTGTAGAGATGTGAACTGTCCAATGAGGCCTGAATGTCTTGAGAATCTAAAACGTTTAATTCAAAGGCAGCGTTGGATAACATTGTGTGTAACGATCGATCTATCCAGATTGATATTGATTCAATCAAAGTGAAAGCATCAATACATATCATACACAATTGCTCCTGTGGGGATTGCCCACAGCATCGAGTATGTAAGTCGCTTTGGATAAAAGCGTCTAACAAGTGACATGTAATGTAATATCATCCTTAAGTTATGCTTTTATTTAGAAATGCCATCGTCTGTCGCTGACTCCCATTAGAGCAAACCTGTTTCTTACAGAGCCCAGTAATAAAAGTGTCAAATCCTATTTTATTTCCTTTTTGTGAGTTGATATAAATCTCAGTGATTGTGTTAAATGTTCATATGATAGTGTTTCATATCGATCGCAGCCTCCTGAATTGAATCAAATCGAAATGGCAGACTTTCTGAAATCAGCAAATATTGTTTCGTTTCCCAAAGAATAGCTTTAATATCTTCATTGTGCTGGAAGTTGTTATTCATCCCTACAGATAACACAGTTTGGTATTCAGCTGCGTGATCTTTCCCACGCATGTTAAATGATAAATGAGGAACATGATGAGATGTAGGAGGAAGGTCTGTTGAGGAACCTCGGAGCGCAACGAGGAAGCATTGAGCTTCTCTTTCCAGCATTACACGCCTTATTGTTATTCAGACTGTACTGTGTGACCTCCACACAATGACTGACATTCACAGTGCTGTCAGAAGTGCTGACAAAAGATTACAAAAATACTCGTGTCTAAAAATGAAGGTGGAAATGATACTGCAATAAAATCTTTCACATGCTTTCCTTTAAAACGCAGCCCACCCTGATCATTATACTCATCATCTTACAGGCAGTGGAGCTCGCCTTGCTGCTTGGTAACTGTTGCCACAGTGACCAGAAAAAC